TTTTAGCTATTGTTATGTAAAAACAACAATATGTTCTGTAATCCGAACTATTCAATAGTCCGAACTACCCCTGGTCCCAATTGGTTCGGATTAAAGAGGTTCTACTGTATTTACATTTACATATTGGTAATCAACGTATCTTATAAAGGATTATGTGATCTAGTTTAAAAGGAATATGACCTTTCTGTCATTACAGTAGCTGCTTGTTTCTCTTTGTACCATATTTTACAGCCAAAATGTAGTGTTATTTTCAATAATGTTACCAACCCATTGCGCCAAAGTCCGTAATATAGGCAGGTGTAAATAATTTGTCAAGATGGGTACCATTTTAGGCAAGGTTTCTATGTTTGGATTTTATTAGACACGATAAGAGCAGATATTTCCACATAAATATTTGATATGTGTAGAATAATATGATAAAATGTAGGCAAAAGTGGTAAAAAAGGCAGACACCAACCCGTACAATAGATATAAGATAGTTCAATAAGAAATAATTTAAGAATTGCTGTGATAAAAGGATTTTCCACTGATTTCGTAATGGAACGTTATATTGCAAAACATGACATGATAAAGAGGAAAATCAATTTTAAAATCAGAAAATAACATTGCAAATACTTATTTGGTACGATTCAGTAACTCCCAATACATATGTATTGTTTGAAACACAATTTAAAAATAAACAGCTGTTTTATTAAAAAGTCTAATTCACATGGCCAAAATGTAAACAACTCTGTGGAGGGATCTTTAAAGGCTTCTGGGGCAGAGCCCTAAGGGATTTTGCTTAGTTTTTCTTTTGATAACTCATCTACAGGCCAAGACCTTTCTTTGGACACCTCTACCAAGTTTATACGCTCAGTCGTTCTCTTAAATTAGTCGAGACAAAGTTTCCAATTAAATATTTAGGTTCCACCATATTAATCTTATGGGAGAAAACCCAACTTTGATGGCCTGTGAGGCAAAGCCCGAGGATTTTTATTACACAAATTTGTGAAAGGGGGCGTCTACACAAAAAATACTTTATTTTGACACGTCGTTTGTAAAAATCCGTCCATTATTAACGGAGGAGTAGTGTTTTGTAGAAATCGCCTTCACGTATTATATATAAGGATTTTAAAATCAGAAAAATCCATTGCAAATACTGTACTTTATTTTGCCAAATTCAATAAATCACAATTTAAATATTAACAGCTGTTGCATTAAAAAGTAGTGTAGAATTATGCATATGGTCGTAATGTAAACAAATCTGAAGAGGCAAATTTAAAGGCTTCTAGGGCAGAGCTCCAAGGGAATTTACCTCTTTCCTCTTTTGATGGCTCATCTACAGACCAAGACCTTTCTTTAGACACCTCTACCGAGTTTCTACGCCCAGCCGTTCTTTCAAAGTAGCTGTGACAAAAACCCCGTTTTCCTCCATAAGAATAACATGGGATGGTAATTTAAAGGCCACGGGGGCAGAGCCCCAAGGGAATTCACCATGTTTCTCTTTTGATGGCTCATCTACAGACCAAGACCTTTCTTTAGACACCTCTACCGAGTTTCTACGCCCAGCCGTTCTTTCAAAATAGCTGTGACAAAGAAAACCCGTTTCAAATTAATATATAGATTTTGTCACCAGCATAGCAACCCGTTAAACCCATGTTAGTTTTAAAAAATTTGTAATTCTATTTTTATGTCTTTTTAGCCTATTTTAATTTATAAAGGCATTCTGTAGATCGACAGGAAAATACATTTCCACCGATATGCGGATATTTTCTCTGTGATGTTCACGATCTGATAAAAAGGTTGTAAAGAAACATGCTTGCCTATATTATTGATATTCTCAGTTTTATATAGTTTGGTGAAAAATAGCAATCGTACCACGGGTCGAATTCATCTTCGTGACTAATATCATACAAAAACACTTCATTATAACTCAATTACTTGTTTTTATAAACTCTGAATTTATTTATTTAAGATAATTGTTTAAAGTTGTTGTTTAAGCTAGTTAATGTTAGTTTTCTATAGAAAGGTAGAGTTTAAGTGGAAAAAACAATGATAGCAGATCTTGACAAGAAATAAGGAAAACCAAAGTGTAATATGGATAAGGACTGACCAAGGGACACAAGTACATTGTTATCAAGAACAGGGGTTTCTCAATGAGCTGCAGACAAGCCAAATTTTCCTGGCTTTTGTAGCAAGTTGTTTATAAAAAATTTTTGTAAGATTGTATGATTTTTAAAGAAATAAAATAAATCCCTTAAACTGGTGACAAGTTGAAGGGGAGATACAACTAGCCGTAGGTACAACTAGACGTAGGTACAAGTAGGCGTAGGTACAACTAGTCGTAGGTACAATCAGTCGTAGGTACAAGTAGTCTCAGGTACAAGTAGTCGTAGGTACAAGTAGTCGTAGGTACAAGTAGACGCAGACGTATGAGGTACAAGTAGACGGTGGCGTACCCGGCTAGTTGTACCTGTAGATTTTTAAGAGGTACAACTAGACGTCCGCACCATCGTCAAGTTGTACCTACAGCTTTGGACGAGGTACAACTAGACGCCTGTCACCAAAATGCAGCAGGTACAACTAGACGCCGGTACAAGTAGACATCGCCCCAATTCTTACAGGCCAAATAAAGATTTGAGTTTGAATGAATTAATTGATTTTAGGATTGGTTCTCTATACTTTTATTTAAACCCACCCTGCCCAGTACGTTTAAGCTTTGCCACGTAGGGAAAACACAATATCTTTCCAGCAAAGAAGATTGTGTTTGATTTCAATAGGGGCCTAATTATGATATGAGGATGTGCTTTTGTTCAGAGAGACTACTCGGCTTACGACAGTGACGAGGACTGGAGAGGGCGGCCTGTTAGTACGACATGTGACACAGATGGAGAAGAAGAAGAACAGGTAGAGCCAGACTTGGAGACTCTCAGTGCAGCAATCAGTCTGGAGGTAAGCTATAAATTTCCTCATTCACACTGTTCTACAACTGTTTCTGTTAATACTCTTGTTAAACCAGAATGTTAAGTAATTGCAATTCTGACGTTCCTTATTGAGTCTGTCGATCCTTTCTTGGTAATTTTCACACTATAGCATTGAGTAGAAGGACCTGAGCATGTTCACTTTTTAAACACTAAACTTTTCTGAAAGGTGACAGATATACTCTAGTACCGTACTGTACAAAAAAATAACTTTTGGTAAAAAACTTTACTGTGTTAGAAATCGTGGCCTGATTTATTGTCTATATTAGTTTACCGTGTAAAAACCTGGAGAGTTTCTGTTTCTATATACAAGTCTGAAAGACAGTAATATGATCAGTAAACGCAAGCTATGATCATGTTAAAAACTTTTGCTAAAAAGTAATGTCAAATTCTTGATTGTAAAAAAATTACTAATTTAAATATTATATTTGACCTTCTTTTGTATTTTTAATAAACAAATTGCAAAAATATTAAATAACTAAGCTTGCTGTGTTATTTTTCTTTAGCAAGAAGCAGCTCAAAAATATCAAAGCAAGGCGGAAGCACCAACAGTCAAGAGGAAGAGAATAAAACAGGATTCTTACTTTAGTGATGAGGAGGAGCTGAGTGAATAGTCAATATTTATTGTATTTAAGTATTTCTGGTAAATATTATGTATATTAAACGAATTAAGCATCAATCGGCATACTAACTGGCCAAATAATGTGAAATCTAGATTTTACTGGCCCTAGAGGTATATCATATAATGAAGAAAAAATTTCTTTATTTTTTCACAATTCATTTACAACTGACATAAACAATTACAAAAAAACACACAAAACAATGTGCTTTTGAACCATACTGACCAGTATTACATGCTTGTAAAAGCCTGGTTTACACGGGTAGAGTTGTGGGTAGAGTAGAGTTTCTAGTAGAGCCACTATCTTGTTCACTCTACCGATTTACAGAAGCCGGCTGTTCACAAACAGTAGAGTGTAGATGATAGTGTGCCTCACTGTTCGTGTTTGGTGATAGGTTTTTAAAATCCTCAAAATGAGCGTTGTTGGGAAGAAAATACAAATACAATAATATTCACATGGAACACGCCTAAACACATACAAAAGTCAACAATACAAGTCTCAAAAAGAGCTCAGAACAGCTTCACTCTACTGGAAACTCTACTCTACTACTGAGTTAATCACGTTTACACGGGTATAGTGTGCAGGAAAGTGAAAATTTGGGCAGTAGTGGGGGAAGTAGAGTAGAGCTACTATGCCACATGTTGCTAGTAACTCTACTTTACCACCTACTATCTACTATACTAGCTACTAGGTGCTAGTGACTGTTTACACGGGTAGAGCTACTTTCTTGTCCACTCTACCGATTTTAAGCAAGTGACTGTTCACACATAGTAGAGTGTTGATGATAGTTTATGAACTGTGTGTTCCGCCTCCATTCCCAAAATGAGTGTTCTAAACCAGTTACAAGACAGTGTCACTCTACTAAAATCTCATTTACACAAGTATAGTGTGCAGGAGAGTGACAATTTTGCTAGTGGTGGGGGAAGTAGAGTAGAGCTACTATGCCACATGTTGCTAGTAACTCTACTCTACCACCTACTATCTACTATACTAGCTACTAGGCGCTAGTGGGTGTTTACACGGGTAGAGTTACTCTACTAGAAACTCAGTTGGATTTTGACAGTGGCAGCGATTGACCATGAGAAAAGTAGGGGGGCAAAAACTACTTATATGGTAGTAAAACATATAGTATATTCATATAGAAAAAAATAGTGTCATATGGATGACACACCAACAAATCATCGCACCATTGATATTAGGTGGTTTAACTTAGTTAAGGAACTTACAATGAAAATTATAAAAAAAACCACAGGATGAGTGATAAGGGTAATCAAATACAAGTTTTAAGGTTGTTAAAAGAAAAGAAAATTTGTTAGGAACTCTTGAAATAGTTGCCATTTGTCATTAATTTGGCTTTAACAAAGTAGTAAAAATCAGCAACATATAAGGAGAGGAAATAAAAACTCAGATTTTGTGAATTATTAACAATAGTCACAATGTTATTAAACTGTGTACAAACAAATAATATATTACAGATTTACAGGTATGGAAATAAATAGATTGTAACGATCATATTCCGATGTAGACATATTTACCTAAAAAAACCAATAAAAGATTGGTTTTACAGTCTTACCTTACTTATATGCTAGATTGTACATGAAATAAGATTTCTGTTACTAACCATTGTAACATACACACATTTTCATTCTTCTTTTTCTTAATATTTCTACAGAGAATTGATCCAAATTGATTTATATTACTAGTTTAATTATTTCAGTTTGTTAGCATGGAAGTGGCAGTAAGCTTTGAGCAGAGAAATAATCAAAAAGTTAAATTACCTCAAATTAGTGATGGACAAGACCCGAAACTTCAATATTTTTTCAAGATTTTTTTTATCTCAAAGCTTCGGGCAGGATTGAAATACTAACGGAATATTTTCAAAACAAGATAAGAAAAATAAAATTTTTAGAAATTAAAACTAAAAAAAAAATTGGAATTCAAAAATACGAGGCATGTTTTTTAAGTAAGTACCGTTTTTAAATTTCTCCGTTGCAGTGCTGCGAATGGCGTTTTGGACATTTTCGCTGTATATGTGCATCTATTGGCAAGCCCTAGCCGGAAATTCGACAACAATCGGCCGTGTTTACATCCGGTATCGAGCATTCAAAATGATGCCGCCAATTGAGACTGCCGCCGACTATGAAGTGCGCGCTGTAATTAGAGTTTTAGGTGCTAAAGGTGTAAAAGCCATTGAAACTTATCGACAGATTAGGGAGGTGTATGTCAAGAACATTTATGAGTGACAAAATGGTACGCAGGTGGGTAAGGGCCAGCGAACACAGAAGGGCATCTGAAGACAGCCCCACCAACGCCCATCATGAGCAACGCACTGGGCAGCGTCACTGTCCCCAGTACCCAGTGTGTTGCTCATCATGGACGTTGGTGGGGCCGTCTTTAGATGCCCTTACCCACTTGTGTACCATTCCGTCACTCATCAAATAAGTCACTCCAAAATCATTATAAAAATACCACAAGACTTAAAAATTGTTACTTGATACTTAACTAGTAAGAAGTAATACTGTTGTTTTTGATATGTTTCAAAGTTGAATTATATTGTATACCAACTGATATCTCCATGCTTCCTATGCCGAAGAGTTATTTTAATAAGTTAGGCCTTATCAATATATTTTTTTATATACTGATGTTTTTATTAATGTTTTTTAATAAAGATTTTAAATATTTTTGTATATTTTTTGCCAAGTTTTTTTTAAAATTTGTAAATATTTCTGAACTTTAAAAGTAGATAGTAATTCTTTTATAACTTTTTGTTAAATCTCGTCCCACAGGAATTAAAAAAATCTTGTCTCGTCTCAAAGTGAAAAAATATAGTCTTGTCCATCACTACCCTAAATGGCTGATATAACAAGTTATAAATTATACAAATATGTTGCCATGCAACATTTCATATAAGTAACCATCCTCTCATAACTAAAACATACATTGCATCTCGCATCATAAATACATAAATATAATTCTGCGTTAAAGTGATTTTAAGCCTCAATAAGTTTTAGATGTACAACATCAAATATTAATAAAAAATATATTAAACAATCAAATTAAAAAGTTAAAACACAAAACTCTTGCAAAATATACAATTTTATAGTTCTTAGTTTTTTACAGATTGTCACAATCAAATGAACTTAACTAGGAAGCATTTTTTTTTTTCATCTTTAACGGTTACAGCTAACAAGTATTTTAACCCTAGTGATATTACAGATATTTGGAACATAAGTTTAAGTATCATTTCAAAGTACATATTATTAAACTAAATTGGTCTATCCGTGATTAGGATAATCTAAGAGGTGATAGTAATGAAGTTTACCTTCATCGGTTAAATGAAACTCATGGTTAGGACAGCATTCCATTTAGTTAGTTCCATGTTTAATAAGCATTCTGTCAAATGTAATCCAAGAACCATCCTGCTTTAGCCATATAGTCATAATTAGGGATCTGTGGGTACCGATATTTGGCTAGAGACAATTAGTTTGTGCAGGAAATAATTTTCTACCCGACCCAAAGTAAAAAGGTTTGGCCCATAGACCTCTCTTGCTCTCTAGTCATAATAGTCTACTTCGTATACTGATGCGATCGCCAACTATTTTAAATTAACCAACATTAATATTTACAGATCATCAATTTCATCTAAAACAACTGAACATGGTTTTTCACTATCTCCTTGTATAAAGCAGCGGAGAGATTGTTTTAACCTAGTATTTTGGTCCTCTTTTGTTGGTGAATGTCCAGGTTGTTTCAGCACTTCTTCTTGGCTGCATAGAACTTCCAGAGTATCTCCTGAAAAATCACATGAACTTAATATCATAGCATTATAGTTTTGCAGCACAGGAGGAATTTGTATGCATGAGACTAGACAGGGGTATCAAAATTGGTGGAATTGCCACAATTGCATCAGTGTAAGTAAATAAAAAATTAAATTGTTCTAGCTCTTATGAAAACATTGCTTGGTCTCTGGAACGAACACACAGCTGTAAATTGGTTCAATTGTCAAAGAAGTGAACGCAATCATAGGTAATCCCCACTATATGAGATGGATGAGATCTGTGCCATGCAAAACCAAAAAGTGTAAAGGAAGAAAGTAAGCTTTATCATTGCGTTATTTGGATAATGTAAATAAAACTAACAAACAATTTAGAGTAAAGTTGGTTCTTTTTTTTTACGAAATAGTAAATACTCATAATGATAAAGCTGATAAAAAACTGGAAAAAGTAGGTTTATGGAACTATAAGAGGGGGGAGTAATCTCATCTTTACTTGCAATGACAATGTTGTACGAAAAAATTTGATAAAAAATAGCTTCCATACATGAGCTGAAATGTTTTAAAAACGTTGGCTACCAACTATACTCATCCCTCAGATTCACAGGAACGTGACAGTAGGTAGGGAACGTGTTAAATTGCGTTTCAGCAAAATCACACAATCCACATTTAGCGAGGGGTGCCTTTTCGCTCAATCCTCAGCAACTCAAAGTAAAAATAATAAGTTAAAGTTTAAAAAATAAACAATTTCAACAAAAAAACTTTAAATTACAATAATAGAAACAGAATTAACGTAGGCCTATTCCAATTTTTATTTAAAACTCATCCACTTACGTGTTGTGCTGTTCAAGCTAAATTTTGATTCGCTCATGAAGTGCAGAAAGTATTCGTAGCAGCCGAGGCTGTGAAAGTCGACGATGGCTAGAAAGTGTTCGTCTAGATTCATTAAGGCGCTCACCAGGAGCACACCTCGGTCGAACACCTTCTCCATTACAGATTGGTCTGCTTTACTCGCTGAAAGAAACGCAACTCAGTCAATAACTATTGTTCACAAGGACAAATTTGTCAAATTTACACTAGATAAATACTAAGATCCTTTAAATTTACAAGAGTGAAAATCAGTTAACCTAAACACAAGACTGACATGTACACATTTAATCTATATTGAACAGGAAAACAAATGAAAATAGGTGTAACTGAACCAGTGAATAATCCACAGATTTAAAAGGGTTGAAAACTACTGACAGAATTAGCAGTGCAAAAAGCATCATATTAATATTTTCAGGATAGACGAATACAGATGAAAGGAACCTAAAGTTGCAGTCTACTACGTGTGTCGGGACCGCATCGTGTGATAGGCCTATCAATGTTAGTTAACAGTTTGTTTGGGTCTATTGTTGTGTGTGTGTGACATTGAAGTCTTATACGTTTTTGTAACCCCGACATTGCCGCATTTACGACAAAACATGTAGGCCAGGTTAGGTTATTAACCTGACATCAAAAATTTGGATTACCGGTACTTGACGAGGTAAATTGTACCAAGCAGGAAATTCTCAAATTAATAAAATACCCCTTCCACAGCAAACCTGCAGACTAAGTGAATTTCCATTTATCTGGCTCGATTTTTAATAAAATATTCCCTTAAATCGGCAGATTTATTTCCTATTTAAATAACATTAATTTTAATGAGTACTTAGGTTTGCTGCTATAGGGAAGGTACAGTAATGAATTGGGCTTTTTTTATTTTGATAGCTTAGTATGTTTGGTCGTGGTTGTGTTTGTGTAGTTCAAATAAATTACGGCCAAATAAGTAAGAGAGAACAGTATTTTAATGGAAGAGTTAAATGTGTGAACAATCCTCAAAAAACGTAATAACAATAAAAATCATAATGGTTGCTAAGACAACTTAATATCAGCTGACGCTACATTTTTTATGCATTAAACAAATTGCCAAATTTGATTGAAATATATCCATAAACAAGTACAAAGCACAACAGTTAATTTATTCTCCACGTGAATAACATGGGAATTATTTGAATTAGGTATGTCTGTAACGGTTAGGCATACAACAACACATCTAGATATGCTAAACCTTACAACCTTTTAAAGTTCTACAAAATGATCTGGAAACAAGTTGTGAAATTTTATGTTTTTAGGGTAAAAACTGGGAAAAACTAATTTTACTCTATAAAACCTTCCATAAACTCCTGTTCCCATAGCGCGATCAAGCTGGTTAGCGAACTCGTTCAAATACATGTAAGTTTACACATTTGTACCAAATTTTATCAAAATCGGATCATTTTTGCTAGAGTTATCACGCTAACGGACATATATATATATGAATTTGTTGAACGGATGGTGTTTTTGGCCTCTGGGGACCTCAAAACAAAAAAATAAATCGGTCTCGGGTCTAGGACTTACCAAGAGACCTATGGTAATAGCTTTTTCCTATATGAAAAATTCACAAAAAAATATATAAAAGCAAACCAACCTGAAGGGTAAGCATAGCAGGTGTCACTAAGTAGATGTAAGCTTAGTTCACACACAAGAGAGTGACACTGACAAGACTTGGCAGTGGGCTTGACTGTGAGCCATGCTGGACGAGACTGACCACTACAGAACAGCGACAACACCCACACAGTCCACACATCTGTCAGCTGGTGCTTCCTTGGGGTGACTACAGCCCTCAGCAGACTGCACAACACTTGGAGTATACAAGAGTCTGGGGGAAACAAACATACAATGTTCTTTAAGTACCAGCTATACAGTGTGACTGATAAGTCCAGGAAGGGTGTAATAGATTCTTTGCCACCATGGAGTAATGAGACTTGGTATATCAATAATAACCATACTACTCTTTTAACTCATCATTACTTTTTTATCCCTTAAGGGGACGGCCCACTAGGAGTCAGACAAAATTCTAATATTGCAGCATAGGATGAGTTTGGTATCACATTGAAGGTCTTAGTTTAACACTTTGCCTCAAACCTGAACCCAAACGGACAACCGAGTCAAAAATGACAGTTACTCAAAGATTCATTGAATTTGCAATGCTACTATACACTACCTCTTCAGGGTGGAAGATGGAAGAAAATAAATTAAAGGTCTTTAAAATTTGAATACAATGCTGACATTTGAGCTGGAAGGAATAGCTGAGTAAAAAATGACAGGCGTTTCAAAATGGTAGATTCAAGAAATATTTGAACGATTGCCATTTTTGATATTCTGTCGAATTGTAGGGTACTTATGCTTACCCTTAAGATTTTCAACTTACTCCAAATGGGCCGTCCCACATAGGTGGCATCCAATAACCATGTACCCAGAAAAGTAGCTTACTATTACCAGTAATGATATGCCAAATTTGGTTGAGATATCTCTTTTCTTTTTAAAAGTTATTAAGTCGTCCTAAGACTTAATTGTCGCCCTGTATACATGTATTTGGAATGTACTAATAGCCTACATTTTCCTATGAATGATGGTTGCACCAACAATATTAGGAGAGCCAGCCCTCCATCCACCAAATGCGGCTAGAACTAAAGTCTTTGATAATTGATATACATAGACGTCATGAATCCTGCAGCATGGCCTGTTTTTCTAGTGGGGCCTTGGCTAAATGCTAATGTGGTGGAATGTAACAGTAACAATAACCAGAGCCATAACCTCATGCAATACTCAAATTATATCAATTGTTCTCACCTGGTGTGAACTGAATATGACTCGACTTTTCCTTGAAATTGAAAGTCTTCTCAGCTAGAACAATAATTTTGTTTTTCAGAAAATGGGGAGCAGCCAACTTAAGGTACTAAATAATTGTTGGTATACCCACCCATTATAATGTTTACTAAGCAGGTTTAAATAATAAAATAAAATAAAACAAAAAAACAACTCGCAATATCAGAGATTCACTTAGTTTATCAATTTTAAATAAATGATGAAGTCTAACAGATTTTTCCAGATAAATCAAGAATGTTCTTGTTCTTACATAAGTATCAGTGTTGTTAAGAACACTTATATTTCATGCTACGGGATTGACTAAAATGACCATATTCAACATTATGCAAATGGTACAACGTACAACCTCACATCTCTAAACAGGTGGTACTTTGGTATTAAAGCGACCACACCAATAAATCAAATTCCAAATAAGATTTCAATTAGTTTAAAAATAACAAAATCTTCCTAACATAACCTAACATAACCCAACCTAAAACATAGAAAAGGAGTATAGCTAGCTTACCTTGAAAGTGTTGATAGGCCATAGAACAAGTAGAAAATAACACTGTGCACACAATATTGTCATGGCTGTTGTCAACTATCATAGTTGACAACAGCCATGACAGCACCATTTTGTAATTTATAAACTCTTTCTCTACACTTGACAAAGTCCCTTAGGGGACGAAATGTTGTGTGCACAGTGTTATTTTCTACTTGTTCTATGGCCTACCAACACTTTCAAGGTAAGCTAGCTGCTATCCTCCTTTTTCTACAATTTATAATCCTGGCCCAGGGCCTTCCCTTAAACAAAACCAACCTAAAACATAGTCATCCAATTATTAGGTGTGGTCCGACTACTAATATAAGTACCCAATAGGCAATAATACTACACAGGGGTATTGGAGAAAGCTTTTCATATACCTGCTTTTGTCACAGTTCTATTTGTTAGGTAACATTCAAGAAATTGACTAATAACAAGTTACGCTTTTAACTTGGTCATATCACCAACAAACACCAACGTTGTTTAAGCTCTTTTGAGAAAAAGTGTATGACCACAACCGCATGATCTTACAATGTAACATATGTTAAACTGTATTTCAGGAAAGAGTAAGAACTATGAAACTGTTTTGTCACAATTCCTTACCCGAGTTATGGCACAAAGAGTCAATGATGTGTGGAAACCTGACCGCTGCAACCAATACTTGGAGAATCTTGTGGATTACTAGGCATCCAGGTCTCGCCAAAACAGCCCATCGTAGCACATCCACTATCAGTGTTTGGCTGGCAACATAACAGAAACGTTTAACACAACATTTTTATAATTTATCGTCTTACTACTGGAAATTTCAGGGGAATGAGCTGGACTAGTGGGACTTGGGTCTCCGGTTCAAATCCCATCAATGGATTTTATCTGAGTGATAAAGCTTTGACTCTCTAGTGTTGGCCTAATGTGAAAACGGTTCCGTGCTAGAGTCTAGTGTCCTAGCACGTAGAGGTAAGACAAAAAAAATAACTGAATATTGATCTAGGTTTTCAAGTATTTAATTACCTTGCAATCATCAAATCATCTTTATTTCGTCAATTGTATAGTTTGGTACATGAAATAAAGTCAATCTCCTTCGAAGTCAGATTAAACTCCCTACATGTTTTTTTTGACAACTACTGCCAAATATTCAGGTACATCTTCTACAATTTGTCAAGTATAAAATTTAACATTGATCTCGGAACACACAAAATAGGTACATTCAACACCATGGTGTCTACTAAACCTGGTTTGAAAAATTCAAGGAGTTTTCCAGGAGAATTCAAGACAAATTCCTGAATTTTAAGAGCTACTATCGGAACCCGCTCAACTAATCGCAACCCGCTAATAATAATTTATTATTACTATTAATGATTATTATTATTTAAAACAAAACTTGTCCAGAGAAAAGTATTTTATACAACACTAGCTGTACCCGCGGGCTTTGCCCCGTTTAACTTTATACGTGAGATTGTTCGCATGGCTCAATCACGTCCTGGTTGAAGTTCGTTCGCTACGCTCACTCACCATTAGGTTAGAGCTCGTTCGCTGAGCTCACACGTAATGGTTGAAGTTCGTTCGCTACGCTCACTCACCTTTACGGTTGGAGCTCGTTCGCTGCGCTCACTTGCCTTCAGGTTAGCTCGTTCGCTACGCTACCTCGCCTCCGGGTTGAAGTTCGTTCGCTACGCTCACTCACCTTTTGGTTTCAAATTAGCGGTTGTCAAATATTTAAAAAAATGATAGTGCTGTACTCTGTTGGTAATCCTTGTAACTTTAAAGCTATTGAACATCATAGAACAGAACCAACTTGTTTAATTGAAACAGCTGTTATGATTTATTAATTCCATTTAAATATGAGTACTCATTAGGTTAACATGGGAAACTCCAGGGCCACTGGGGCGGAGCCCGAGAGTCCGATCAGAATAAAAACCACTTAGTTTTCCTATTTAATGCCTAAAGAATCAGTGTACCAAATTTCAGCCTCCTAGGTAAGTGGGAAGTGGGAGAATTAGTGATGAGTGAGTGAGTCAGTCAGTCAGTCAGTCAGTGAGGGCTTTGCCTTTTATATATATAGATAATAAAACAGTATAACTAGTAGGTAAGGCGACACCAGCTATCATCTCCTGCGATTGTGGGAATACCGGTGAGCATATCCTGCGGTTTCGGCAACACCGATAATCGTCTCCCGCAATCGCGGCAATACCCGTGACCATATCATAAAAAGACTACGGTATAAAGGGTAAAAGTTTTTCTTTATTAGACTCTTATTTACAGAACAGAAAGTATAGAACAACAGTGACCAAAAACGGTGTGAAACATATGTCAAACTGGAATTTAGCTAATTATGGTGTACCTCAAGGGTCAATATTGGGCCCTCTGTTTTTCCTGATCTTTATTAATGATAATGACCTTCCAAAAGCTATTGGCAGAGATTTAATCTTATTTGCTGATGATACAACAGCAATCATAAGAGAGGATTCAGTAAATAACTTAATTGTATCAATGGAAAACACTTTGGATTGTATGAAAAAATGGTTTTCAGATAATGGTTTAAAGCTGAATATTGACAAAACTCATATAATCAAATTTTCTTTAAAAAACAGTGTAATTCTCGATAAAATTCCAAATTTAGTAGAATCTCATAGATTTTTGGGTGTATTGCTTGATACTCATATTAATTGGAAGATTCACATACAGGGAGCGGCAAAATGATCTGACGGTTTTATTTGCTGCCCTGTCAAGTGAGTGATTGGCGTAGGGTGGTGGGAATAGAGGCGTTATAAAGCCAACGTGTGAACATTTTTAATAGCCACGGAGCCGTGGGACAGCTGAGCACCATGACTTTGTAGTAGAAGTGTTTTTAAAATTCCTGTGTAGCTGTTCAGTACACGTTTCAATGTGGGTCAATGAAGAAAAGTCCCAACTTGAAACACCATTTTGCTGTAGGTGGGTAACTTTAGAGCTACTAGTTCAGCATTGAAACTAAAATCTGACTACGTGGTGTGAAACTAAAGAGAGTGAGAAAGACTATGTGGCGTGATTGAAAGTGTGATTCGTCACTCATAATGACAACTTTGTCATCTCTACTTGTTCTGAAAAAGAGATGCGCTTTGCATAACCACTGGGCTTCAACTTTTGCAGTTTCACGATTGCCATTTTGTATGAATGAAAATGCAGATGGTATTGTAATACTCTTATACTGAGCGGCCAGACAAGTTCAGAGCTGCAGCTTATTTACGTTTAGGCTGCTGAGGACTAACTTCCACAGTGTATCTCACTCTCTCGGCGCTCTCTGGTGTCCGAGCTGACATTGGACAGCCTGTTGACTTTTTTCAATGCTATACTAGTAGCTCTAAAGTTACCTACTCACAGCAAAATGGTTTTTTGAGTTGGGACTTTTCCCCTTGGACCCATATTGAAAAGTGTACTGAACAGCTACACAGGAATTTCCACTTTTAAAAACACTTCTACTACAAATACATGTTTCTCAGCTATCCCACGGCTCCATGGCTACTAAAAATGTTCACACGTTGGCTTTGTAACGCCCCTATTCCCACCACCCTACGCCACTCATTCGCTCGACAGGGCGGCAAAGAAAACCGTCAAATCATTTTGCCGCTCCCTGTAGATAAGATGAAAGGCAAACTAAGATCTATTTCTTTTGCTTTCTTTCACCTGATAAACTGTGTACCCCAGGATACATGTATCACAGTTTACTATGGATACGTTGAATCCATCTTGAGGTATGGAATCATACTGTGGGGAGTGTCAACAGAAGTCAAATCCCTACTAATTTCACAGAAAAAAATTATTAGAATCTTAACCAAATCAAGAAGGAGAAAATCATGTAAAAACCTGTTTAAAAGTCTTAGAATTCACACCATTTTTGGATTATACATAAATGAAATTCTAAATTGGATACATAACACTAAGGAAAATTTGTCAGATGTAGTCAAATTTACACATAATTATAATACAAGGAATAAATGTAATTTCAGATTACCACATCAAAAATTGATGACTTTCAGGAACAGCCCTCAATATATGGGACTTAGATTGTACAATGAATTACCCCTGTATCTTAAAAATTTAAATGCTACTCAATTCAAAGATAAAATAATTGAGAAAGCCTACTATTCACTTGACGAATTTTTGGAGAACCCTATAGTGTAGATACAAATTCTCTGATATCCTACATGAGTTTATTTTAATTATTTTTTTTACATCACTATGACGAAACACCTGTTCTTAAGTAAAGAACGTTTTGTGTAAATAAAATATGTCTATGTCATATCTTGCGGTTTCGGCGACACCGATAATCGTCTCCCACGATCGCGGCAATACCCGTGAGAAAATCTTGCGGTTTCGGCAACACTGATAATCGTCTCCCACGATCGCGGCAATACCCGTGACCATATCTCGCGGTTTCGGCGGCACCGATAATCGTCGCGATTTCGGCAACAAAAGCGGTAGTGTTTGGTTAGCCGACGATTCCGATGACCGAGCTGTGGATTCCTGGAGTTTTCCAGGACATTTCAAGGTAAGATAAAATTCCCGGAGTTTTCCCGGTTTTCCCGGAGAGTAGACAATATGAACACAAAACCTATAGATTAATAAGATTATTAGTGTTGTGGTGCAGAATTTGTGTGTACTAAAGCTTAGTCAGGGCGGCAACTGGTATTGTAGTGTCCAGTTCGAGGTCTTGTGACATGCTGATCAGCTGTTCAATGACTTGCATATTCAAACAATGTATTTGCTTCGCTATAAGTTTGTCATTCAAAATGTTGTAACTTTCATATTTTACTGCTTGTCCCGACTAAACTTGTTCACTCACGGATACACTGATCTAGTAAATATATGGTTTTAAATTTAATTTATATATTTTGTCAACGTTTATTCAATGTTAAAATTTACATATGACAAATTGTAAGAGGTTATACCCCAAGATGTGGTAGTCACCTCGAAACATGTAGTTTATTATGACTCCAATGGATTTGCAAGAGATTTTAAAACTATTGATAGTTTCATTGCTTAAGTTAATAGTACAGAAACTAGAGATTAAAACCTTTGTAACTGATTCTTAACCTACAGCATGCCAAAGAACACTTTAACTATCATAGCGTTAACATATTATCTAGATAAAATAGATCTGTAGTATAGAAGCTCATAATTTATTCAAAAAGGTATAAGTTTTATCACTCCAATAACAGTATTGCGTCTTTTACACACAGGAAAATTAAAAAAAAAAATCAAACAAAATGCAAACATGTGTGCTATTCACACAAGATTACTGAAGGAATCAATGTATATATAAATAAATACACATGTAATGATTAACTTACGTTTCCTTGGAGATAGCCTGGTTAGAATTGAGCATACTTAGTATCAGAGAGACAGATCCTGCCAGCACTCCTTGGAACCTGAGGGTTTTCCTCTACAAGTACAACAACATGTCTTAGGTAACAGAAATATGTAAACCAACATTAACTACTCAAAATGATTCAATCAGCAACATTTTATAACAATGTTAGGTTGTAGAACTCCACTAGAAGGTCAAAGCCATTGTTAAAGTAAACAGTGTTGGTGTTTAGGAGTTGACCGTGATGTCGAACTGGCAAAAATATTGATCTTTTTGGATGGATCCAATCCACTTTCGTGACAAGCCAAATTTTGTTCTATGATTTGTAGCTTGTCTGAAAGATGGATTGCTGCAACATATCCAAAACATCAACCAGTAATTTCCCCACATCAACTCTTAAAGATCAAAGTTAGACAGTGAGTAACTAACAAGTGGATTTAGGTTTAAAAATAAGAAGATTAATTTCCAGTGTTAATGAGAGAAATAATAGTATAGACATGGTTAAAAGGAAAATTAAACGGAACAAAAGTATGTTTCTCACTCGAGCCGGATTGGCAAACATGATTTTTTTTAGCCGCACAGTACAGTAGAAGTCCGATTATCCGAGCCAAACGTGACCAAGACTACCTTGGAAAATCAAAAACTATGTGGAAAAAATTATTAACGGTGGAATTGCATTTGCACGGTTATTAATGCTGTGGACCTGGAACAATATTGAAAAAAAAAACGGCTATATACAGTACTGTATTTGCTCGACTGTCGATAATGCGGATTTATTGTAATCCGGACCGGACGACAGCCACATTAGTCCGGATGAGCGAATCTACTGTATTTATTTGATTAATGCATAATTTAATTAGTTTCAGAGTTTGAAAATTGAGTAGCCATTATACATCTTATAGTTTAAAATTCTTGAGAACTGATTATAATTGAAAACAAAATTGTTTAAAATCATAATTTTTAGAAGAACTTTCAAAATGACCCCTTGACTTTCATTATACTCCCCCTTTTCTTAATCGATTTGGTAGATATATACTTTTTAAATTTCTTTGTAAAAAAAATTCAAAATAGCTTAAATTAACCATAAGTTATTTAAATATATACATTCGTCTATTGGGTCTGATGATTGGAGTGTCCAATCAAAATCGATCACCACTTATCTTTTATATGCATTTACCGTCTTGTGAGTCAACAGTATAAGTGTAAATATAATTAGGATACAAGAATTATTTCACGTAGGTAATTTTGTACCTTCAGGTTATATAGTGTATTTTGGCAAAAGTGTAACATTATTGATTGTATCAAAAGTGTGGGACACATGAATAAACAGTTTTTAATTGAACCTTGCATCACAATGTTCAATATTGTCATATTCAGGTATGTCAATATTGCTTACCTGTTTTTCAATTTGTCGGACAATATTTTTCACAGTATCCAAAATGTCACCAGATTCCTTTGAGCTGCTGAAAAATATTAAACAAAAGATAATAAATAAAATAATAGCTTCTTGATAACATTATACAAATATAATAAAATACATCGTCCAATAATCTTCCATTTGTCTACTCTTAAACAGTGAACATTAACAAGAAGAATAGTTGGGTTACATAAGAAGTAATTTTTATTTCATTGTCCTTTGGATGTTAAAGTAGACATGCCGTCTTAATAGGCCAGAGCTGTTCTTTACTTTCAAAAATACCAAATAAAATTGAATGGGTACCAGTATTGCACTTTTTATTTTTTGTCTGGTTGTTGCCATGTTCGGTTGTGTATTAACTTATTTTTTGTTTTGTTTTTGCACTTCATATTTTACCTATTGTAGTTAATTACGCGCTATATTATTTTGCTGGTATCAGCTTGGCTTAGTTAAAAACTTAGTGTATTCAACTGATATCAATAATTTACATCAGCAAATTTATTGCAGGTGGCTCCGTTCAACCAAGTCCATTTTGATTAAAAAATTGGTGACAAAAGGGATGATGGAATGTCTTTTTATGTGCATTGTCAAAGGTTAAAGGAAACTTTAAGCACAGTTCATTTTAATAATTTAGGTTTCAACTAAACAATTGTAGTCTATAAATCTACTCGATGATGGTTTATCAGCTAGTTGTGAATAAAAGAACACACATGAAAAATATTCTTTTACTAACCACAGACCCGACAAATAGGCTAATATTATTGGTTGTACATCATAAGTATGCAATCGTCGAGGATCAACTTCAATCATACCTTGAAATTATTTTCTGAGCTGTGGTTTGTGACGCCTCTACAAGTATTGATATCAGGCCCAAAGCTCTTCTTGCCGTGATCCCTCTCTCATCATTGTACAACTCTCTGGAAAACAAAACATTACTTCTGTGACAGTTGTGAAATGAAAAGTAATGAAAAATGTCTTTATTTGGCGAAGTAAGCACTTGTAAGTCCTCTCTACCATTTAACCTCTAAAACAAAAATAGACTAAAACTAATCACTATAGTTAAAAAATAATCTAAAGTAGGCTTAACATAAGTATATATGGTAAACATTATAGAGATAGTTAAACATGATGAAATTAAAATTGACTAACCCTAAATAGAATCATTCACATTGCTAACAACCCATCTCACCAGTGCCAAAGACTCACTTAGGCCTACTCCTCAAATTAATGGATTTTATTTTATCTCTATCCCAAACCTTGCACAGTTTACTACGGTTTTATGTGGTCAGGGAGAGAATTTAACGTTCCAATTGCAGACAAAGAAAGATTTATTAAAAACTGTTGTGAAATTAATGGGTGTAGTGTAAAGAAAAGTACCTCTACAAGTGGCCGGGTTCTGATGTCAGAAATAAACCAGAAATTATCAGAAAAGTTTGGAGTTTTCGATATTGGAGTGGAGAAGAGACCAGTAAATTCCTGAAGTTCATTTAATTAATCAACTTCATTAATGAAAGTACATTTAAATAAGGTGTAACATCATACTATCGTATCAGGTCAAATGAATCTCATATTGTGTCTGCTGAAACTTGCTAGAAACCTCAGTAGTCATGTTATTGATACACGCCATTATTTTCAAATTCAGTGGAGTGTACTCTGCAAAACGTTTGTTAAAACCCCTGTTGCAAGTGGAATTGGCTTGGTCAGCCTAATTAAAGTGTATTGTCTAAGAAAAATGAAAAACAACTCATGGTCTTTGGAAATGTCATAATTAAAATATCTAGACTAGTGTATGAGGGAGAAATGTGGCAGATAAGGAGAAAAATGGAGAGAGCTAAGATTACTATACACCAACCCGGATATTGTTGCAATGGTTAAAGGAAGAAGGTTAAATTAAATAGGGTATGTCTTAAGAAGAGAGAAAGGAACAAGACTTTATGAAGTTTGGAGAGCCACACCTGGAGGTAATCGTCCATAGGGAAGGTTGAAATTAAAATGGACTGACCAAGTATTGAATGACATCAGGAGGATGGGTGCAAAAGTCAACTTGGCAGAAGGCAGACAAGGGTGGAAGAGGCTGGTACACGAGGCGAAGAATCAACAGAGATTTGTGGAGCCACGGCAGTAAGTAAGTAAATGGAAAATGCTATGTTTTATGGACGTGTAAGAAAAACACAATAATTGTTTATCCTGGCCTACCTGTGAGAAATGATGTCATCATACTCCTTGTCCAGAGATAATTGTCGAAAACCTGACAGAATCAGTTCTCGTTCTCTTTTAGTAAACTGATTGTTGGAACATGTCGTGGATTCCAGTTGCTTCAGAAACTCCACGAGAATCTTGTGGCACACATTCACTACCTAAACAAGGGAGTTACTCTTAGCAACTATTACGGCGAGCCAAGGTTTATAACATGTCAGATTGTTTTCCATCTTTGCTTTATTTGTAATTATTTTATAGTTCGTTTGATAAAATTCTTATAGATTTGTGATAAAAATGGATTCTATGCAAGACTTTGACGTACTGCCTCAGTTGAGGAAGTTTGATTGTACAAGTCGTAAATATTAAACAGCTTTGTTACTTTTATTTCAAAATGGCCACTAGTAAAGGAAATATACTTATCCATGCCCACTACAAGTCAACTTGCCTCTGTCAGTACTGGGTGATTTGTTGTGATGAGTAAAACAAAAAGTTACTCTTTTGATCAAATGTTTAAACTAGCCTATGAAACTTAGCAAATTACAAACGTTATAAAGAAAAGATGCCTTGGAAATGAATAGGATACAAAATGTGTTAGAAGTTAAGAAATGTTCACAACTGATTAGAAGGGATGTATCTGTTTCGATACTGAACGTCATCCAGCTTACGCAACCCGAATAAAACTGATTCTGTTTTTGGTTTCCAAGTACCATGAAGAAAAATATGAGTAGTTTTGGACCTAAGACTGTGGTTGTAGGCAGAAGAGTAATATGTCCTTAAAAATGTTTCTAAAAAAACAATTTGAAGCAAGATGGAGAACAATCTAAGAGCTTGAAAAAAATAACCACAATAGTGTATTAGGTGGTGTATTAGGTGTATTAGTGTATTGGTGGAGTCATTATAAACGGTGCTATTAGTGTTCCATTGTGTGAGCTTTTTACGTGACACCTTTTATAGATTATAGTGTTTTGTGATTGGTTATTATTTGCATGTTGTATCATGACTTGACTGCTATACAGTGCATATTTTTTGACTGCTACCCTCTGTATTGTATTCCAACTTAGGTTGGGTGTTTGTGTATTGTTAGTTGTAATGTGTTAGTTAAGTTTTTTCACCTGAAGACGAGATCAGATTCCAGATCCCGAAACGTTGTGTATTGTTTTTTACAATTGTGATGGAAAATGTCCGCAATAAACCTTTGAACAACAGTGTATTAGAATATCACCGAATATTGTGTCGCCTATGGCTATGTCGTACTCACTTGTGATAACACTTCCTGGCTAGAATCACTAGTGACGTCCACTAGATCGGGAGACAACAACATGGCTGCACATTGAGTGATGCAAGTGTTAGAGATGGACAGCTCTCTTCTGACCGTGGTACATCTACCACTACTTGTACTGCTTCCCTCGCCTACACATACAATATTCAATATTGTTACAATACTCTCATTGATAATACAAGATTGTAATACATTTAGAAAATGCACTTGAACTGTTTTTAATAAAAATGCAATTTTTCTTGAGAAGATATATGAATTAAGTAATGTGAACGATGTACAACTATTTAAAAACATATCTGAAATGTTGGATTTAAGTTTGAACTGCTGGGACACTATTTATTGTATTTTATGTACATGAACAAATAAGAGTGAATGAACGAACAAGACATTTTGAATTGAATTGAATGCAAGGTAACGAGACTGTGGATAAGCAAACTTTAATTACTATACGGGATAGGTCGGTTTTTTAAGTCAGTTTTCACTTTTATCACTTTTCAAACCAAAAAACCCTAAACCAAGTTAATGGATAATGTCAGGTTTTGTTTGTCGGTTGTTGAGCAATGGTTTCGTCACCATCCCATGACACAATAGCAACATCCTCACGAGGATTGCAAGGAACATATGAGATTATACGCAATGGGAGAGACAATAGTAACGTCTATGTGATCATAAAGATGTTTACGATTCTTTAAGACCACGGTAGAGTCAGGATTTCGCCTTGGTCCAGACAGATGATGGTGTGTCCGATACCGCGGTACACATTCATGATTTTGACACGATCGTGGGCAAAAATAATGTCCTTGCAATGGCGGGATGCGATGATAATGTCTTTGCGATTGTAAGAGAAGTTCAAAATGTTGCTGCGATCACGGGCAACGTTGATGAGGTAGGGATTGTGGTAGATGTTTCAAGATTTTACCACAGTCGTAGAAGATGATGATATTGTCTTCTCGATTGTGCAGGATGTTTAACCCTAGAGCTGGCACTATTGTAACGCTGTACTGGCATAGGGATATTATTGATTATGTAATATCATTTTTAAACCATCATAAAAATTAGAAATAGCAACATAACTATGTATTATTATATACAATTTTGTTCAGAATAAGACAAAGAACAATAATATAAGGAGTTTACATGGTTACCACAAAAAAAATTTTCAGTTTTTCCGAATTGTAGGCATTATTAATTTTTTTATAAAATATTTTTATATTCCGTCGTGTATGTGACGCTTGCGTCACAGCGGCGACGCATCAGACGGTAAAAATCAGCTGATTGCTGGAGAACGGGGGAGGGGGTAGGAAGCGCAGAGACAGAGCATAGTCGTGTTCCGAAGTCAAGGGGGTGTAGGCGCCATGGTCAAGGCTGGACAACATCGCCGAATTGATAATTTTTCCTTAGTTTAAGTAATTTTAAAATATGTTCTAATTTTTTTCAGGAAGGGGGGGGATTAAGGGGTTAGGGAACTATTAATTATTTCAGCTTAATATGTAAATTATACCTTAGAGCACACTCGTACCCATAAGGTACGAGTGGAAGTTTCAGTGTTCTTTTCCTTATTACATTAATAATTAGATGCATTAATAATATTAAATCATCAAAATGGCTGTGATATGGATGTGGTTTGGCTCAGTAATTAATTTAAGATCATTATTATTCAACTCAGAATGTCGCTAGCAACACTAGATTGATTATATTGAGCCTTAACGATCCTTATGAGTCCAGTACCGTTACTATAAATTGTAGTAACACGCTTCATGTAGCTAAGTGCAGGTAAGATTTATCATCATAAGGTAAATTGTAAAGTTGTAGTAAATTTTGTGCTGATTCCAAAAATATATAGTTTATATAGCTTATTTTGTGTATTTTATTTGATAGCCCTATAATTATGTTGATAGTACCCCCGCGCTAGAACCAAATAATCATCCAACCCAGGTCATGTACAAAACCGTACCGTACACCTTATATAATATATAATAATAATATATAATAATAATATATAATAATAATAATAATATAATAATATATATATAAAATATGTATAATGGCCTTAGTGCCGAAATACGTATTAGTTGAATAAAAATGAATTTCAGGGTACTCTGGTTTGTATTATTTAACTTATTTATTAAAACAGTAGCCCTAAAAAGTGAGCAAAACTAAAAAAAAATATAATATATATTATATACTAGCTGTAACCCGTGGGCTTTGCCCCGTTTAACTTCTTAATTTTCAAGATTATCTCGTTCGCATGGCTCAATTACGTCCTGGTTGAAGTTTGTTCGCTACGCTCACTCACCTTTAGGTTGGAGCTCGTTCGCTACGCTCACTCCCTTTAGGTTGGAGCTCGTTCGCTGCGCTCACTTGCCTTCAGGTTAGCTCGTTCGCTACGCTAACTCGCCTCCAGGTTGAAGTTCGTTCGCTACGCTCACTCACCTTTTGGTTGCAAATTAGCTGTTGTCATAAATGTAAAAGAAATAATAGTGCTGCACCCTGTTGGTAATCCTAGTAACTTTAATGCTATTGAACATCATAGAATAGAACCAACTTGTTTAATTGAAACAGCTGTTAAGATTCAATAATTCAATTTCTCATAAGGTTAACATGGGGAACTCCAGAGCCACTGGGGCGGAGCCCGAAAGGATTTTTGAAATAAGAATATGCCTATATGTTAATCGGGAATGTGAGCTATCATCATGCCAAATTTCAGCCCAATCCGACCAGTATTTTTCGCGTTCACTTGTCACAAACATACATCCATACATCCATACATACATCCATACATCCAAACTTTCTCATTTATAATATTAGTAGGATTAGTAGGATTAGTAGGATACCGTAACACCTGCATTGGCGCTGTACATCCGGCGTTGCCATTTTGGCCGCGGCCGTTCGCGCCGTATATCCGGCGTTTGCCTGCGCTAGGGTTAAGATTTTGCCGCTATCACAGATTATATTCACGATTAAATTATAAAAATACCCACAAAATTTGTATATACCAAAACCTAATACTGCTTTTCTAATGGCTACCATACAAGACATGTGTTCATCATTACGTAGACATTAGGAGTGTTTGGGAATAAAAAATAATTAATTTTATCGTCGTTTCAGGGATGCATACATTTTCCACCAGTTATAATGAACAATTAAAGTTTTACCTGCAATAGTTCCTGCGACAACATAACCCTGCCATCACCAACAGCAAACCAAATAAACAAAAATAAAGGATTTTAAGGGATAAACATAATGCAGGTATTAACACCATTAGGCTAAAAAAAGTGAAAACTGACAACCGATAAAACAAAAACCAAACTGATTAAAATTGCAACTGACTCATCACTAATACCATCCATTTTATGTAGGCCTATGCATTTAATTTAATGGGTACCTTAGTTTGTTGTAGACAGTTATACAACTCAGTTTACTGTTTAATTTAGTATATTTTTGTTCGATATGCTGTGAATAAGAAAGACTAGACAGACCTATGAACAGTCGAGGTACGTAGGAGCGTGTGGTCTCGGAGGCCTCGGCTGGTGATGGGTTTAGCAGCTCCGACGTAACAAAGTCTCTGATGAACTTGAGACTTGGGTCTTTTATCACGTTGCTGCTGTCCCACTCCTCTGTACCATCCTTACCTGGCCTGACAAACTTGATAAATAAATACATGTAAAACCTGATAACAAGAACAATTTGGTTTACCAAATACGAAATGCTTAGTCACAGTGATGGTCTCATCCAAGAACATCATCTATAAAAAATCCTATCAGATGAAATGGAAATTAACTTTTAGTTGCAGGTCTGCTGCGGTGGGGGTATTTATTACTGTTTTGGGACCCTTTTGTATGTCTTTCAACAATGAGTCAAGTTTCATCTTATTTTACACTCCTTACAAAGGAGTTTGAAGCCAATATGATTTCACTGCAGAGTCCACAGCTGATATCATATTGTTTTGCTTTATTATGAGGAAAGAGTTAGCATCCCTGCCCTTTGGCTGAAAAGTTTAACCCTTCGCGGACGGGTGACGGATATATCCACCTAAGTCTTTGGCAATAAAGGTGGTGGACGGGAGTCGGATGTATCCAACTTATCTTCAGACGGCCTGGCTGGTGTTTTTGCAGTACCCAGATGTCTCGGGCTACCACGGCTCTACTTGCCCACGCTCTTCGCAACCACTACAGCCTTGCTTTCAAGGTCGTAGGGAGTGGGCAACACGCTGGCTGCCCTCTTCCACGTTCCCCCCACCCCCACGATGTTGCACGTTTAGCACAACGTTGACTTTGTTGGCACTAAAAGCTACAGTTGTTGTCTGTCTAACAGCATGAAATAGTGATAACATATTGTTATTGTAATGGTTGGCTCTACTGACTATTGTCATTTTAGTTTATTATCATGTGTTAATTGTTTTTGTTTACTTGGAGTTGATTGATACTAATAAAATACTTTTACCTAGATTATTCTATCATGATCAATTCTGATTTAATGGGTTTAATACATGGCGCAGTCGGTATTTGCATAGTTTGGGAATTAATATACTGACACTGAAATTTAACTTTTTTACCTATACAAACATATCAACAACTTTTGTGGTATCTACCATTATCAAAAAAGTTTATCATGGCTCATACACAAGTAAGAATGCCTGAACCTTTTTCCTTCCAACCAGCGGAATGGTCACCATGGAAAAAACGTTTCGAAAGATTTAGAACAATTAGTGATTTGGATCAATCATCTGAAGAAAAACAAGTGAGTACACTCATATATGCAATGGGCCCAAAATCAGAAGAAATATTCTCATCCTTCAAAATGACCAACGAAGAAACAAAGTATAAAACAGTCATGGACAAATTTGATGGGCACTTCAATCCAAAGAAGAATATTATTTATGAAAGAGCCAAATTTCTACGTAGAAAACAAGGACTAACAGAAACTGCAGAAGATTTTGTGACAGATTTATATTCTCTTGCTCGTACCTGTGAATGGGGAACGCTTGAAGATGAAATGTTATTAATGGTCATTATTATTGGTATGCGTGATCAAGATTTGAGTGATAAACTACAATTAGAAAATAAAGTTACATTGGAATCTGCAATAACTTCACTTCGCAAATCAGAAGAATTGAAACGACAAAAAGAAGAATTGACCCTCCCATCAATCGAAGCTGTAAATAAAAATCAACGTGCTAGATATGATAATGCAATACATTCATCCAAAAGAGAAAATAGGGATCAAGGGAGATTAACGTATTCAAGCTCAAATGTCAAGAGCTATCCCAACTCTTGTATTTGGTGTGGTTCAACCCCTTCTCATCGAAGAGGTCTGTGTCCAGCAAAAGATCGCAAATGTTCTAGGTGCAAGCGAAATGGCCACTTTTCACACTGTTGTCTTCAAAACAATGTTCGAGAAATAGACTTGGATCGTTCAGATGACTTTACCCAAATCGCTAATGAACCAGACCCATCGAAAAAATTCATTGGGTGTGTGTATTCTAGTAAAACAAAAAATGATCCCTGGACAATAAATGTAAGACTTAATGAAGACACTGTCAAGTTCAAAATCGACACAGGAGCTGACGTGACAGTAATACCATCCAACATAAAGCTAAGCAAAAAAATTGCAGTCCAGCCTACCCAGAGAACTTTAAGTGCGGCTGGAGGATCGCCTCTTTCTGTTCTTGGCACAATCACTGCAAAACTCTCTTACAAAGGACAATCGTGTATGGAAAAAATGTATGTGGCTGACAAATGCACAACACCACTACTTGGCAAACCAGCAATAGAAAAACTAAAAATAATACCGGTTATTCGTGAGGTATCGAAAACTAATTTCAACAAATCTGCTAATGATTGGATCAAAAACTTTCCAGACCTTTTCAGTGGTCTAGGAAAAATGAAGGGGAGCTACGAAATTGAACTTAAAAATGATGCAAAACCTTATGCGATATCAGTTCCTCGACGGATTCCAGTACCTCTTTGGGAAAAAACAAAGAAGGAGATTGAAAATATGGTGAATATGGACGTTATAACACCCGTTGATCACGCTACTTCTTGGTGCGCACCTATGGTCGTGGTGCCTAAGAAAGATAGAACTCAGGTTCGAATATGTGTGGACCTTACTATGCTTAATAAGAATGTGTTTCGACAAACTCATCCTATTTGGGGCATTGATTATACGATGGCTCGAATAAAAGATGCCAAAGTCTTTTCCAAACTGGATGCCAACCATGGGTTTTGGCAAATAGCTCTTGCAGAAGAATCTCAAGATCTCACCACGTTTTTAACTCCTTGGGGCCGATACAAATTCAAAGTTCTTCCATTTGGTATCACAAGTGCTCCCGAGTATTTCCAGAAACGAATTCAAGAAACCTTAGGATCTCAACGAAACTGTTTAGCTCACATCAATGACATACTTGTATGGGGTTCCAGTCAAGAGGAACATGACTTGATCTTAAATGAAGTTTTAAAGAAACTCAGAAATGCTGGAATTACATTGAATAAAGACAAATGTGTATTTTCTCAGCCAGAAGTACAATTCTTAGGACATCACCTTTCATCCCGAGGGGTTCAAATCAGCCATGAAAGAGTCAAAGCCATTCTTGAGATGAAACCTCCATCTGATATAAAAGAAGTACAACGCTTCTTAGGAATGATTAATTTTTTGTGGTAAATACATACCAAATCGATCAGAAATACTAAAACCAATCCATGATCTACTTAAAGAGAAAAATGAATGGTTTTGGGGAGAACAACAACAGCATGCGTTTGAAAGTATAAAAAAACTTCTGACCTCAGCACCCCAACTAGCATTTTACGACCCTCGCTTACCAACTCTTGTGTCAGCAGACGCTTCTTCTTATGGTCTCGGCGGATTGCTTCTTCAGAAACATCATGATGGTAAATTCAGACCTGTTTCTTACATTTCAAGGTCACTTACAGAAGCTGAAAAATCATATTCAAATATTGAACGTGAAGCCCTGGCAATCACATGGGCTTGTGACAAGCTCAGAGACTATATAATTGGTCGAGAGATTGTAATTGAAACGGATCACAAGCCACTTGTAAAAATCTTATCATCTAAGAATTTGGATGACATTACACCTCGCTTACAGCGAATGAGGCTTCGCATGATGAGATACTCATATTCAGTGACATATACGCCTGGAAAACACCTTGCACCAGCAGACTGTCTTTCAAGATGCCCCATTCCAAGCAAGGAAACATATGACATGGAAGAAGAAATTGAAGCTTTTGTTCAAAATGTGGTTGAAAACATACCTACGACTGATGAAAACATAAACAGGTTACGGGAAGCTCAGCAAGCAGATCCCATCTTCAGAAAGATTGCAGTATACTGTCATACTGGATGGCCAGAAAAATCACAACTTCCATCTCAACTAGTCCCCTACTTCTCGGTTAAAGATGAGATATCACTGATGGACAACTTACTTTTACGCAATTCTAGAATAATAGTACCATCAAGTCTTTGTCAAGAAATGCTTCATAGAATACACGTCGGTCATCTAGGAGCCACCAAATGTCGAGAAAAGGCTAGATTCAGTTTATGGTGGCCAGGAATGGCATCAGATATAAATATGATGGTAGCTGCATGCCCAACATGCATTAAACACAGAGAAAATCGAAATGAGCCGCTCATTCCTTCCGAGTTTCCAAAACGTCCATGGGAAAAGGCAGCAATGGATTTGTTCAAGCTTAATGGCAAATGGTTCATTGTTATAACAGATCAGTTCTCGAGATATTTTGAGATTGCAACTCTACAATCGCTCACTGCATCTGAAGTTATTGAGAAATGCAAGTCAACGTTTTCTCGCCACGGTATTCCTGAAGTTTTATACTCAGATAGTGGAACGCAGTTTGGCATCACTAGTGCAGAATTCAGAAAATTTGCCAAAGAGTACAACTTTTTATGCAAAAAAAGCAGTCCTCAGTTTCATCAGAGCAATGGCTCAGCCGAAGCAGCTGTAAAAATTGCAAAAGCTGTTCTAAAGAAGAACAAAGGAGATCCATATTTAGCTTTGTTGTCTTACAGGAACTCTCCACTGGCCAACGGTTACAGTCCAGCACAGTTATTATACGGACGCAGACTACGGGACAATTTGCCTACCTTACCATGTCATCTGGAGAACAAGCCAGACTTCAGTCATCTCCGAGAGAAGGAGAATCATTATAGACAAAATTACAAACGAAATTACGATCGACGACATGGTGCTCGACCCTTATCAGATATGAACCCAGGAACCAAAGTTTGGATATCTGATTTGAAACGTGAAGGAAAAGTCGTAGAAAAGTTAAACTCACCACGATCTTATAAAGTACTGACGGACAAAGGAACCATAGTTCGAAGAAACCGGTTTCACTTACAACCAATGCCAAACATTCAAAAGGAAAGTTACCACAACCATCAAGCATCAACAAATAGTCAGAAGGATCATTGCCACAACCATCAACCATCAACAAGTAGTCAGAAGGATCATCGATCTGAGGAAGACAACGGTATGTGCTTAACAAACTTTTCAACAGATAACCGTAACAGTCAACCATTAACAAGAGGTCCGATGGATCATGGTATGTGCTTAACAAACTTTTCAACAGATAACCGTAACAGTCAACCATTAACAAGAGGTCCGATGGATCATCATGAAGACATGCCAAACTTTTCAACGGTTCCTCCAAACACCTCTGGAATGTCTTCTGCTAACATAACAACCCGATCAAGACGACTTATAAAACCTCCCCAGAAACTCAACCTTTAAAGAGGGAGATGTAATGGTTGGCTCTACTGACTATTGTCATTTTAGTTTATTATCATGTGTTAATTGTTTTTGTTTACTTGGAGTTGATTGATACTAATAAAATACTTTTACCTAGATTATTCTATCATGATCAATTCTGATTTAATGGGTTTAATACAGTTATTTATTTATTGCCTATCCTTGTCACGGCCATATTTTCAAAGACAGACGGGGGATATATCTGCCTGCTTATCCGCACCATTTATTTTGTGCATAAAAACAAGTAAAACATTATTTAGATATTATGAGATGTTCCATTGATTGTGTTTATTTGATGTATACGGGTATAAAAAAACACAAATATAGAAAATTCATTTTTGAAATTAGTTTTATTTTTGCCCGTACTAGGCCATAAAAGTCCCCCGTCCGGGAAGGGTTAAATTATCAGCAAAATATCTGTGATAAATATTTTTATAACAATTCGGTCTCAAAAACATACATTCAAGTAAAATGTTGAAGTGATTGTTGTATACATACTGGTACACAACTGTGATTACTGTAGTAGCACTATGCCATGTTTCTTTATTTTTTACCTTAAAGCACCAAGCCTGTTTGGAGAATCTGGTTGAATTCTATGAACTGAAGTCATCTGTGATCTTCTTTCAGCTGTTTTTAGTTCCATATTCTGAAATGATAAAAATAATTTGTTTGCAATAAACTTAGCTATGGGCAAGATTTTAAGATGAAAACTCTAACAACACTCATCCAATCCTTATTTTTTTGTACCAAACATAGCGGCCCCTATTTTGCTTGTGGCCTAGTGGTAAATCCGGCACTGCTTAAAACATTTCATCAAGATAAATTATCACCATTATTTTCTAATCCAATATTAAGCACACAGCATTTGGGACAGTATACAAATGAATCAAAAAGTTAAAAAGTACCAAACAGTACATACAATTTGTTAAAACTAGGCTATACAATCATGGTACATACAGAACTATACAGAGGGGGATTCATGTTGCTACACGCTCGTTTTGTTCCGACTATAAGACTGCCATCAGCGTGTCAGACTACCAAGTACGTCAGATTACGAGTGTCAGATTATTGAGGGTCAGCTGTCTAACTGTTTTCCCTTTTGTTTAGTATGAACCATCCTGTAGAAATGTGTTCAAAAAGGGAGGGTCTACTGTATTTAATCATTTGCGGGAGTAATTTGTTTTCAATTTACACAATCAAAGGCAAAAAACTGTAGGTGGAGCCAGTAATTAATCTAATCTAAAGATGTATGCATTCTAGTACATAGGGCATTTTTTGTAAACATTTAGAACAAAGGTGCTTTTAATATGTAAAAGAAATAATCCTAGAACTACTGACTCTATCTGTTGTGATTGTTTAGCATTGTCATTGTATTGTCAAATAATTATAACAATTGTTTTTGCTTTATCATGTATACAATTGTATTTACTTGTACATCACATCCACCACACCACATCTTCAGAAGTAAATACACTAAGAAACTATAAATACATCCCTATACTCCGATATGAATCAAGTTATGCTACCTGAAACACCCGGCTGAAGAATCACTTACAAAAGGCTTGTAAAACAAGCAGGGTTGCACTGTATCAAAGTGATTCAATGAATGACCTTGGGAGTGGCAAGTGTTTACCCAACAAATCCGGTTACATCACTGATCGATATTAGGTAGGGGTAAAGACCACCGTAAGGAAGGGGGTGGTAGTTGGACCGCTCGCTACAAAATTGTGGCCATAAAAGAAGCCTTGGTATCAATTTAAACAGGTGCGACCGTTTGAAGGTTACTTTAAGGTTATATAATTAAGACTGTATTATATTAACTTAGTGTCATAAGTTCAGGATTAAAACCCACCTTCACATCAATCTGTCCCTTCAATGATTGAATCTCCTTCTGAAGACTACTGATGCGTTTTTCTGATTCTATTTTCATTTCAGCTCTCTTACTCAGATGGACCTGTGTTATTTTTTCATGTTGTTTTTCAGCATCCTTCATCTTCATCCTGAGGAGTGTTGCCTGTTTCAAAGAGATCATATTTCACTGTCACATTCAGCTCATTAATAGCATTTTGTAGGATATAAGTTTTGTCTGATTGGAAATTTTAAACATCGTAATCTCCGCAGATGATCACTATGTTGTATCGCTGTGATTGTAGAAGATGGTTAGAATTTTACCACGAACCCAACGTCACAATTAAGAACGGACATTTTCTCGATACTGATCGAGAATCGGAATTGGCCATCCCTGTTTTTAAGGTTTGACCTCAACTCCGCTTCTAGGAAAACAGTACCATTATATTACCTATGAGAGGTGAGTGGCTCTCCGCTTCTACACACTAGGAAAACTCTGCTTTAGATAGTCTATAGTCAGGATGAAACAAGTCGGTTCGCCAAATTCAGCTGAATAATTTTAGGGCTCAAAATCACCAATATTGTTTTCCGAAGTTAAAACAATCTACAAATAATTAAATTTACCCTATACTTTGCGCAATACAATTTAAATTTTTTTTGTCTTGTCTAGGTCAGTGGAAATTTTTACATTAAGTACTCGAGACATTTACCACTAGGCTAGTAACCCACCGGCTCTTTAATAATACGAGCGTGTCATGGGCCAATGAAAAGCACCGTAAATGTTGGGTTGAAACTACCCTTCTTAGGATTGACAAGCTTACTCCGTTTAGGCCTTCTAAATGGGTTGCCTCTGACTTTTTGAGGCTAGACAATCAAAGAATTAAATGGAATTAACCAGTGGAACTGATAACTGGCCATGGGCGATTCAGGAAACATTTACAACGGATGGACTTGTTTAATGGTGAACCGATCTGGCACTGCGGTAGGTCAGAGGGGATCGCCCGCTCTTTGAGTGTGAAAAGCTCTCTGATGTTAGAAGGATAACTATTGGCAATTTGGTAAAAGGTAGATACCTACCTGAGGAGGAATTGGAAGACTACAGGCTTTTATCGGATACCTGAATTTGTAGGGTCTATCAATAAAACAACTGTCTGGGGTGAGCAATAATTTGACTTTTTGGATGAAGTGCTTTATGGTCTCAGCATGCCGCATGTTAGATAAGATAAGATAATACGAGCCTTAAACACAGCTTGAAAATAACTGTACCTAAAGTGATTTGGCAAAAATGTTTCATAACTAAGACCTGGTTTGCTCAATGCTGAATAAGGCACGTGGTCCCCTACGGCTTGGCTTCTGTGGTGTTTATCTCCTAATCTAGCCCTTTATAAAACTCATACAAACAAGCTGGTACAAACAAGTAAAAGATGCAGGTAAACTGGTGGCACTCAAAGTAACTATACTCGTCAATGGCCGAGCTTACAGTGACAAAATGTATCTTAATCATAGAAAATCTGATCAAGATCAATTCCTCATTTTGTATCTTCTAGTAGAGGGATTTCTTTGTCAACAGAGTTGGAATTACATTACAACTTACATATAAAAACAACACTTAACACTATTTTGCAATCTTGGATAAACTACCATACCTCTCCAGCTTTCTTATTATATTCTTCTTTCATTTTCATTACTTCTAGTTTTAGCTTGTCACACTCGCTCTGAAGAAACGCAGCAGTGTTACCAGAGGCTAAAAATAATTTATATTTAATAGAAAATAAATGAGAAGGGTTAATTAGATGAGGGGGTGTTTGTAGTGATAACATTGATTACCGGTACTGATTGATTTAACACTATTTACACGAGTTGCGTACACTACTTTGCCTATGACAGTTTTTTAGTTTACTAAAAATCACTACTCATAACTTTTAGAGAGGTTATGTTTTCGTTTATAACCTCTCATTGCCGCTGACAGTGATGTAATGAAACATTGTACCAAATACTAATTGCACCACTCAACAATTAAATTGGCCTGAACAGCTGATTAGTTGAAGTTTGAATTATTACAATTTTACTTCTTCTCCCCAATACTTGAACCTCATTGGTTTGTTACCCGTGTTGTTATGAGTAAAACTAGGCTGTTATAAAAGTAAACAATGCTGTTCTGTGAAACTTTTCGATTCTAAGAACTGAACTGACAAGGCTACTTTAAAAAAGGGTCGTAGGTAAACTTAGTTTACACTTTAGGATAAAAGCTAAGGTTACCCCTAAAGCAGGCCCTATAGGCCCTAACCTTAGAATATACAGCACAAAGATAAAATACATTTAAATTTCTAAGCTTATCTTTTAATATTGTAAGTATTTAAGTAAGGTAAGCCTAATTTCACTCAAGTAGGCTGTAGATTTCCAAAAGTGTAGCCTATAGGCTACCTATAGCTACCGCTTAGGCTTACCTATGATTGAAATTGGTTTACCTTTGTTAACCGCAGAGTTCTTGTCAGAGAAAGAAGATGATGACGTTGGCCACTGGCTGCTGTTGAATCTTCGAATGGGAACTTTGGCATTATTTTTTAAATTTGTTGAATATTTTTTGGCTTCTTGAATGTTATTGATGCTATTCTGTGATTTAATTGGCATCTGAAAAATATTAAAGGCTAAATTGTCATTTTTTATGTAGCATGGTTGGTAGGCATGAGGGGCATGAGTGAATAGCAGTAAAGCATAGTCGATGACTGCTCCGTGAGGAAATTGTCAGTTCTTCATAAGTTAATATAGGTGATACTTAAAAATTAATAGCCTATGGGCAACATTTATACTTGACGTAGGCATGCATCAATATTCAGGTAGCCTACAGTTTCACAGAGAACCAACTATCAACTCCGCCATTAGTGGTTACCGTAGGAGAATATATTATCGGATGAATAAGCTAATGATTAATATCAATAATATCTATTTGGTTCTATTTTAATATCATATTGAATTCAGTACCATAACTTATGATGACAAATAAAAACAATAACAAAATGTTATCAAAGCTTTTAATTTATTTCATCCTTACTTTTTTCTTAGAGGTATATTTAAGAATAAAAATGGAAGAAACCATGAATTTTCAATTTCTATGTGGTTACCTATCAACAGTATTGAAAATTGAAAACAGTTTTTGATTAGGGTAGATAAGTTATTGTTAGGTTTATTGGTACATTGGTAGGTACCGTACCAAAAACTCTTATTCTTTTATTTTTTTGTCAATCAATTGGTCCGGAAACACCACAGCAAATAATGATGTTAGCATGGGTCATCATAAATATGTTTGCAGGACTTTCCTTGTTTCATTATGAATCGAACAATAGCAGCCTAACATAACCGCCGCAGCGCCCTGTATACCTACTTGGTGGAGTATAGCGGGGCGACGCATTCAACTCAAAGTTCGCCAGAATTGCTGCCTTCTGGGAGGCAGAACTCAAAGGCCACTAAGCGTAATCATGTCAAATTTGGACAGTAGGAGTCAATTTAATTTAAGTAGGTACCTATGTTCATTCCAGCCTAGGCCTAACTTACCTATGTTATTTTTCGTCTCCAGTAAAAAATCTTTCTAAGTGGCCTCCGGATAATACCAAAGTACCATTTTATTTATTACCGTACATATGAATAAAAACTTAAACAGCAATTAGAACACTTTTAAGTACCGTTTAAGTCTCTAGAATTAGTGTACATACACAGAACACTTAAGTTTACTGGGACGGTGGCATCGTCCTGTAATCCAGCTACCAGGAGGTCACGAATTGACGATATTTATAGGCATGCACTGTGCCTGCGATACTCACTGGTGTGGAATGTGGATTAATTTCCGCACTAGTTAGTGAGTACTTCGACTTTCTGCAGTAGGCCTACTACCCTGATAATTAGACCACTTCGTTAATTACAAGGGAAAAATTTGATTCCGATTAAAAACTAGAGGCCTACTGGTAAGTTTTAGGTCACTTAGTTGCCATTGGCTGTGTGGGTAATTAATTAACAGCTGTGTCTAAGGAACATGTCGGCCTTAGTCACTAACAAGACTACAAGATCGCACCAATCATCCTACACTCATCTCCATTTATACTTGGCTTTAAATTACCAGTACCTACATTCATATGGTCGCCATTTTAGATTCAAAGTATTAAGTAAAGTATCAAAAGGTTTAGTAACTTACGGCATACGAGAATTACATCTATACGTATAGTTTGAGAGCATGCATTAGAGAGTATACAAACAGAACAGGATACTAACTTAACTTATAACTTATTGTACAGCTAAGGGTCTGACCGTGAGTCGGCCGCAAGTCTACTGAGAGTTTAATGATAGGCTTATATCTTATGATTTCATCATCTTACCTGGGACAAAGCAATTGTTTCATCATAATCAAGTTGAGCTAAGTTTAGTTCGTCACAATCCAATTCTCCCCATAACATGTCGTCAATAGTCTCCTTCTGGTTGACAGATTGTGAAAGGGTTCCAAATTTTGGTGTCTTCGCATTTTTTGTTATTTCTAGTTTAGGCTTTTTAGGAGTTGGTTCGAAAGATTGACTTGCTTTAAGTTGTGAAAATGAACTCAGAAAATTGCTTTCTCCCAAGTGATAAGACACAGCTGTACTTTTTTTCCTGGGGTCCATTTTACAAGTTAAACTCAAACTAGGTTAGGCCTACAAAGGGTTGTTGGACCTTCTAATAATTTTAGCACAGGTTACAGGTTAGGGAAAACTTGGTTATCAGTGCTAAAATAAATGTTCTTCCTTAGAATACAATATTATTAAAATAAATAAATTTTCAAAAGAGGTTTCGCTCAAGGATGATTTAGCCTAGGCCCTAATTGGTTTTTGTTTGACAATAAGTTATCACATTTAGAAAATGTTAATATAAGCAACAAAGTGAACAAAATTATTTTAAATCCCACAACAATACAAAGCACTTGAAATTCGAAAAATACTAAACAAAAGATTATAACTTATTAACACCTAACCTAAAACAGAGTAAGTTATTCATCTCAATGGTAAATAAAAATAATAATATAGCAAAGATGATGATACGATACGGATACGAATTTAATTTCAATTTGTTGTTTTTTTTTTCACCGAATCGCCACGCCGCTTCGCCGCCTGTTTCATTAAACGACAGCTGTTGAGCTGTTTCTGTTTTCCCTTTAATTTAGAGTGCATAAAGGTGGAGCTTAGTTGGTTGTCATGTAGCATTAGAACTGAAATTGTTAGCTGAAATTAACATGACCAAAGATAAAACGAGTATGTTTTATCTATGGCCTAACTTTCTTTTGTCTTTTGACTTAGCTTGTATAAGTTTAATGAATGTCTGGGAACTGGAGTTAGCGCTTCTGGTAGTATTATAAGCATAGATTAAACATACTCCTCAAGGATTATGAGGAGTATGTTTAATCTATGATATAAGGTAGGTTCCGAAATACCGACCTGGCCATGGAAATATCGCATTAGCTTGTATAAGTATAATGAATATCTGAGAAATGGAGTTAGCGCTTCTGGTAAGGTGGGTTTCGAAGGATCAGAGCCTGGAAGGATCAGAGCCTGGAGAGTTCTGGAGGATTACACGGGCAGTGACCACCAGTACATTATTTAGAGACAAGTAGCCGCGTTTCGTCAAGTGCCCGTTCGATGGAATATTAAAAAAATTGGACGTGGCAAAATTCAATGAAGCCATCTTACGAGGAACACCGGTGCTTCCCCCGCAACTAGCGTGGCTCTCGCAGAGGTGTTAGTTACATCCATGATGGGACTAATCGTCTCCGCTTGCGATGAGTGTATGCCTCGCAGGAGATCCCGGTGCAATAAGCGACCTGTGTACTGGTGGACTGCCGAGATTGCGGAATTGCGTCGGTCAGCATTGAGAGCCAGAAGACTTGCTACCAGGGCCAGAGAACCTGTAGACAGACGTCGTAAGTCGGATGGTTACAGAGTGGCTAGGAGGTCGGCTACCTGCGTGATGATCTTATTCTGCAGAAGAAGGCGCTAAGAGTTATGGCATCAACTCATGACCTTGAACACTGTAAACCTCTTTAAAAAAAAAAAAAAAATAGAATCCTCACAGTATATAACCAGTATATCTTCAACTCTCTAAACTACATCAAACAGAATATCAATCTTTTAATGACAGAACTACCATACACCAACATCGAACTCGTAAAGCTCAAAATCTGGAAGTCTACAGATGCAGGCTGAGCAAAACACAAAAATCCTTTCCAATTGCAGGAATATAACTATAAAAGTATATTATAGGAAATATTATATTATTTTATAAAATTATATTATATTATAGGAATATAATATATAAAACTATTCAACAGCCTCCCAGCTGACGTGAAAAGCCTCACAATCTCAAATTTCAAGAACCACATCATACATGAACTTTTAGAATGGCCAGTATACACCCTGAACGATGCAGAAGGAATCCCACTATTCAAGGGAAAGAAATATCCGAAAGGCATCTGACGCAGTCAATCCCACAAGCTGGGTCAAAGACGAAGACATCAAGTATCAAGTCATTTCCATGTTCTCCCTACATGTTTCAGCAGGTGGGTCGACCATCTGGGACTCCACGAACTAACAGGTTTTAGCGAATTTCCCATATAGGGAATAAGCTATTACCGTAGTACTCATGGTAAGACCTGGACGCGGGACCGATTTTTTTTTCGTTTTGAGGTCCCTAGAGGCCAAAAACACCATCCGTTCAAATTCATATATATATATATATATGTGTGTCCGTTAGCGCGATAACTTGAGCAAAAATGATCCGATTTTGATGAAATTTGGTACAAACATGTAAACCTACATTTATTCGAACGAGTTCGTGATCCAGCATAATCGGACCATGAGAACAGGGGTTTATGGGGAGTTTTATGGGGTAAAAATGGGTTTTTCCCATTTTTGACCCTAAAAATATAAAATTTTAGAATATTTTTCCTAACCATTTTGTAGAGCTTAAAAAAAGAAATAATTTAGTATATTGAAGCATTGTTGTATGCCTAACGGTCACCGAGAAAATAAAAAAAAATGCAAATTTAAAATTCCCATGTTATTCTTATGGAGAAAATGAAAACTGTTGTAGTTTACTTGTTTATGGATATATGTTGATCAAATTTGTCAAACTTATTTATTTCATCCTATACTATTGTTGTTTGGTCAAAAAACACTGGTTACCTTCCCCGTAGCAGCAAACCTAAGCATTTGTTATAACTAATGTTATTTAAATTGGGAATAAATAAAATATGTCTTATTTATGGAAGTATTTTAGTAAATATGTACGGTAATCAGACAAGTTGAAATTCGCTTAGTCTGCAGGTTTGCTGCGGTGGGGGTATTTTAATTATTAGGGTTGTAACGGCTGTAATGTTTGGAAGCAGCTAATGGTATTTGGGTATTTACGAAAGCTTGGTTACTGGAATATGAAAATATGGTATTTACTCAGGGGAGGTATAGAAGAGGCTACGATGACAGCTGAGATCTTCTTATTAGCTGAGGGAACGCCATTACCGTAACAAAACGTTCAACAGCCGTCGGCCTCGGTGGTCAATTGGTTAGCGTGCCGGGCTGATATACTGTAGTCCCGGGTTCGAATCCCGCTGGTAGCGTTAACTTTTTGTCCAACATTTTTTTATTATCAGCAAGTTTGGTTGGTTTGGTTTGGTTATTACAGTTTAATTTTATTATTAAGTCTTTATAAAATTTTAATTGAGCAATTTCTAGTTTTATTTAATAAACAGAATTATTTTTCCGATTACTAAACTTTTGTTATATTATTTCTTTATCAGCAAGTTTGGTTAGTTCGGTTAGGTTATGATAGTTTAATTTTATAATTAAAAAATAGTAAAATTGAATTTGAGGCATTCATAATTTTATTTTATGAACAGAACTATTTTTGCGATTAGTTAACCTTCATTGCCAAAGTGCTCTCTACTACAGCGCTGTTCACGGAGGAATTTTGAACTAAATGCCTCATTTGTACCTCCCCTAAGTCAGACCCTGAAAATATTGACTCCGCTTAAAATTGATTTTCAATTCATATTGTTCTCGTTTTCAATTCTGTATGTTTTATCTATCGTTAAATGTACAAAAATGGATTTTCAAATTATATTGTTTTGGTTTTCGATTCTATTTGTTTTATTTTCAATCTATTAACAAATGTCAGTTCATAAATTTAAATGAATAATACACGAATTAATAAACTTGGACCCATTTCATAACAGTGTTTCATAATAAACTACAAGTTACAAGTTACAACTTGTAACTTGTAATTTCCATTAGATTTGCATTGGGCGATCTACTATTAATATTAGTTTGTACTTTATTATGAAATGGGCCCCTGGTGTCAACTATTATAGATGTAGGCATAGATAAAACATACTAGGAGTATGTTTTATCTATGATTTAGGTTAACATCTATAAAACTGACTTGAAATATAGTACTCACTCAACCGTTCATATATTAGTCGGGTGGTCGTACCGTATGTTCCGGTTGTCTGTCTGTGGGATTGCTTGGTTCGGTTTGGTTGGGCTTGGCAAACGGCAAACAAATAGGCACTTGACTTTTTAGCAGCAGGAGCAGACAGCCAGCAGGTGAGGTAGGCCATTCCCATTGTTGTCTGATGTCTGTTCGTTGTGTTAGTGAACGAAGTGTTGGATGGTTGTTTAAGCTATATGAACATTAAAGTTGATTCAATGGGTTATTTCGAATCTATCCTCCTTTAATGAATACTAGGAATTTGATTGACATTAATTATTAAGAACTAGAAAATTTTTTTGTGATGAAAAATTTCTCTTATTCCGTCAAGTAACTTAGTTTGTAGTAGCATTGACTAAATTAGGCAGGTCCTTAAATGTAAACTTAACCTATTCACTTAGCTTCCTAATCTTATGATGTTAAGGGAATTGAAACTGATCCATTTTTAATAAGTTGACAAAAGCAGTGTTGGGGAAAAATCAATTACCAAGATTGCATTTAGGAAGTTGAAATTGGACACATCCTCCAGTTACCAGAAAAGAGGACTAACTTACAGTTACAGTTTTTATTCTTGGCTAACTTAGAGATGACACGACGGGTCCAAGGAAGTGCTTGTTGAACGCTGTTGTAGCTGGAAGAGTTGGGCAACTCCAGGAGTGTTGGCTAAATTAATTGTTCAACGGAAATCGTTCAATTAGGCCTACCTGTTTGGTAAGTAGGCTAAATCAGATCTCATTTAACTTACAAACTAACTCATATTTTCATTGCAAATCCTAAACTGTAAGCTAAGCCTACCCCTACAACTTGTTAGTGTTTAGACCTAATAACTTGAGTTTATTGGACTACTTCTCTCTGCAAAATTCAATAACTTTAGTTAAGTTATAAGGTTTTTAAGCCTATGCCTACCATTTGTTTACTAAAGTATCTTGAACAGGTAAAGTTTAGTCTAAAAACAAATTGATCAAATGCCTCAGTTTGGGTCTAAAAATTTGGTTAGGACTTTAATACTTTAGTTTGAAATGGTGACCATACGATTGTAGGTATTTTAAGCCAAATATGAATGGAGATGAGTGTAGGATGATTGGCGATCTTGTAACTTACTGAGGTAGTCTTAAAGCTAGTGACTAAGGCTGACATTCCTTAGACACAGCTGTTAAACTCATGCAATTCATACTACTTGTTGCCATCTACAAACTTTCTGTTTATAATTTGTAGCCTAAATAAAGCTTAGGCCTAAGCTATTTATATTGCTACTATTTATTTGTTAACTTACTGTTCACTATTTGTTACAACTAGGCCTAGGCCTATTTGTTACTTTATTTCTGTTTATTTCAAGTTGTAAATGTAGGCTATGTCATGTAACAACATGACCCTGAACGTGTCAAAGTGCTCCAGTATGACTTTCAGTAAGATTCGCGCTCCATACATGGCAGAATATTCCATCAAAAACCAACCGCTAAAGAGAGTCTCAATGGTGAAAGACTTGGGAGTGATTTTCTCATCGGACTTCTCCTTCGACGAGCTTGTAGATTACTTTTTGTAAAAGAGCCAACCAGTTGCTGGGCTTCCTATTTCGGGCTACCCGTGTGCTAACAAATGCCATTGCTTTAAAGACTCTGTATTGCTCCTTGATCCGACAGCTGTTGGAGTACGCCAGCCCAGTTTGGTCACTTTTCCACCTAGGGCCCATCAACAAACTCGAAGGGATCCAGAAGAAATACATCAGATTTCTCGGTGCCTGTCAAGACATGCAGTAATGTGAAGTCCCAGTGGCCGTCTTCCTAAACAATTTAAACCTGATAGATCTTCACTTGAGATGCTGTGTGGCAGACGTTGTTTTCCTCCACAAACTTCTCAATGGCCAAATTGGCTACCCTGCTTTACTTGCCGAAGTAGACCTTTGTGTGCCTTCTAGAACCCGTTCACAAGATCTGTTTGGCAAGAGGCACTTCAGTAGCCAATACAATTATCACGCTCCTCTTGCAAGATTTCTTCGTCTTGGAAACATTTTGGGGGCCAGTATCGACTTTTTCGGAGACACCACGGGGACTTTTCAAAGGAAGGCTACGGTCCGGTTGACTTCCCTGCGCCAGCAAAAAAATTTATTATAGGTTGTTATATTTGTTATATAGATAGCGGTTAGAATATTTATTAATCAATGTGCATGTAAATTGAGTTGTGTTTCTTGTCTTGTTGATCTCTTAAAATGTTATTTATATATTATCTCTTAGGTAGCCTATTCATCATTTGTATTATCATACATCTATTGAATTATATAACTGCATATTTATTTATTAATTTAAGATTATAAGTATCGCAATCATTTTTGTAATGGTAAATAAAATATTTTCATTGTAAAGTGGCCATGCCGTTGGAAAATAAAAGTAAAAAAAAAAATAAATTAGGCTAATTAATAGCCCATACAGCCAATGTCAACTAAGGGACCTAGACAGATTAAAGTGGAATCCAAACCACATTTTTGCCTTGTAATCGGGGTATAAGTTATCACATCCATAGTGCCAGTACATACCCACAAAATATCTTCATTATCTGTTCTGTAGCTAACTTAAGCCTTGTTTTATTGAGGTCAGTAACTTAGCCTAAGGTATAGCCTATTTTGATTATTCTTATAATGGTCCCTCGTGCATGTTGCTAAGTATCAAGTTAGACCTAGGGCCTACATATTGTTTCACCTTAGCCCAGGGTTGCCACCCCTCCCGATTCTGCCGGGATAGTCCCGATTTTCGTAATGTAAGCCTATGAACTATAAACTGTAGGTCCCTTAGTTGCCATTAGCTGTATGGGCTATTAATTAACAGTTGTGTCTAAGGAATGTCGCCAATGTCAGCCTTAGTCATTAACAAGACTAGAAGATCGCGCCACTCATCCTACTCTCATCTCCATTCACACTTGGCTTAAAATACCTACTTTGTATGGTCGCCATTTAAGTTTAATGAGAAAGTATTAAAGTATGGGGTAGACTTCCGTATTTGTTGGCATAAACAACCGAATAAAAATATCGATCGATATATCAAATGAAACAACCGAATAATCAATATTTTCATTCGGTTGTTTGTGCCAACAGATACGGAAGTGTACCCAGCCCATGTTAATTCGTTGGGAGGGGGCAATGTCCCGATTTTTTCCTAACGTAAGGTGGCAACCCTGCCTTAGCCATCTGCAAACAAAAAAATGTAGCCTACTAAGTTACCGTATCTAAAATGGTGTAACTACTTTGTACAAATAAATAACTTAAAGTAAGTTTCCTGAGGCAGGTAATCTGCTTGCAAACTGGCTTTAAACATGGTTTTAGTGACACACTTGACCACAGTTTTAGTTAGACAATGCCTTTAAGTTAAATTGATGTGACATATTTTAGCGAATTTCCCTATAGGGAAGTAGCTATTACCGTAGGTCTCATGGTAAGACCTAAGCCCGGGACCGATTTACTTTTTCATTTTGATGTCCCCAGAGGCCAAAAACACCATTAGTTCAAATTTTTATATATCTATATATATATATATATATATGTGTGTGTCCATCCGCACGATAACTTGAGTAATTTTTGTCCGATTTTGATAAAATTTGGTTTGAAGGTGTAAGGCGGGATAAACTTGAATGAGTTCGCGAACCAGCATGATCGGACTATGAGAACGGATGATTATGGGGGGTTTTATGGGGTAAAAAAAAAATAGAGTTTTCCCATTTTTGACCCTACAAACACAAAATTTCACAATTTCTTTTTAAAATACCATTTTGTAGAGCTTAAAAAACAAATAATTTAGCATATTGAAGCGTTATTATGCGCCTAATTGTTACGGAGAAAATTCAAAAAAATTGTAATTTTAAAATTCCCATGTTATTCTTATGGAGAATAAGTCAACTGTTGTAGTTTGCTTGTTTATGAACATATTTTGATCAAATTTGGAAAATACATGAATTTCTTACTAAACCAAAGTAGGTACCTTTTAACATTTTACATTAAAAAAAAACTTTTTTACCCTCCCTGTTGCAGCAAACCTAAGTAGGTACTCATTAAACTAATTCTGTTTAAATAGGGAATAAATGTGATATTTTTAAGGAGACATTTTAGTTTAAATCCAAACAGGCAAATGGAAATTTGCTAAGTCTGCAGGTTTGCTGCGGCGGGGGTATTTTACACATAAATACACTCCACTAAAACAAAAGACTAATAATTCCATAAAGTAGGCTATGCTTAATAGGCCTAAAAAGCGTTAGCCTACTAAGTAGTCTATATGAAATAAAATTAGTTTTTAAAAAAAATCAGAGCTCCAAATAAGTTACGCAATTACTACTTTGGAAAATTTATTTTGGCCATTTTGTTTCTTTCTGAGCTCATATTTTCAACTACCGGTAGTCCTATTTTTTAGGTCGAGGTAAAATCAAACTGACTTTGAAATAAAAACCAATCTCTTAAAAACAGGACTTAAAAAACAATCCTAGCTATGACGCTAAATCTAGGCTAAGTTACGGTATTAATAAGAATCCAAACATCTAAGATTCCAAAAAGGTTTTTGGCACAAGCTGGTCTTCAAAAGACTTATGTTTTGTACATAACCAAGTCCCTGTGAGTTTGTCATTTTTATTTGACTGATAGGCCAATCCTATAGGTTATTTTCACATATTCATGGACTTTCAAACTGCTGATTTGCTTGGTGTTGGTAGGAATTAAAATACGTGTTTTAAATTCATAAATTATCTGATTTTGATAGTTTGAAGCTGAATGTCTTTGTTGGGCATGACAAAGACACTGGAAATCAGTACAGATTACTGTTTTACCAACATGAATTGTTGTTGTGTGTATTTAGGCCTATCCTACGGTAAGCTTATTTCATTTTGTGGAACTCTAATAACGGCCAAGATATGATCCATCAGAAACTAAGTTGGGACTGTCCCAACAGAATCGGGACGGGTGGCAACCCTGGTCCAGGTGGTCACAAGAAAAGGACAAAGTAATCATTGTGTTCTAGGTTTTCGTAATTCATAATTACAATTCTCCATTGTTTGTCAGAAGTAACTTACAGGTAATTAAATCCTCCTCCTCTATTAAAAGATTTGTTTAATGATATATTTCTCTACATGTTTTACATCAAACATTTTATGTTTTATAACAATCTATTTTGTTATACTGTAAGGTTGTTCTGTATACAGGGTGAATCAGACCACCTGTGCATATACTTTAATGGGATACACCCGATTTGTGTTATTCACTGACACAGGTATACAAATGTTTGTACCCCACTTCTAGAATAGCTAGGGGTCTGAAATTTTTTGTGGAGGTCTGTCTCAGTCCCAAACACCCAGAAAAAAATAAACACATATAATAAAACGGCTATATAGCTCGAAAACGGTAAGAGCTAGTAGTAATGATTTAAAAGAATTTACCTAACCCGCCATGTTAAACTTCCCTATCCCAAGCGTGATCTATACAACTTATTTACTTCTTGAGTGATGTAAAGTTGAAAAAAACTCACTCGGTGAGATAATAAAACCCATTAAAATAACATTGGCTTAACTTAAAAAATATACCTCTATGGAGCCAACGACGTTAAACGCTAGAAATCAGCTGTGTGCTTGAATTTTATTGTTATGTTTTGAAGAATTTTCCTAACCTAGCTTTTGTTTTTAAATGAACGTTACTGTTAGAAGATGAGTGAAATGGATAATGAAAAATATTGTTCGTAACCTCC